TCCGAGTGGTCCGAGTGGTCTGATGGATTCGAATGGTTCGAATGGTCCGAGTGGTCCGATGGGTTCGAATTGTCCGAGTGGTACGAGTGGTTTGAGTGGTCCGAGTGGTCCGATGGGTTCAAATGGTCCGAGTGGTACGAGTGGTCCAAGTGGTCAGATGGGCTCGAATGGTCCGTGTCGTCAGACCATCTTTCCGAGCGGCTTGCAGTGTTCACCGGAACCGACCAGCCGATGAACGGTCACCTCTTCTCACTGAAGCTCAGAGCAGACGCTGGTGCCCATTCCTCGGCGGCATTGAGAAGCTTCGTCTCCGACTAGGCCGAAGCAGAATCAGTCGATGCTAATCGATTCGTATCCAAGCCTCTGGACATAAAGACCGACATACAGACATGCAAACAGGCAGCCTCCAGCATGTCATCCCTCCCACCTTTGGGATTAATAGTCTTCATATGCTATCCCCTACATTTGTAGGTCGGAGAGGAAGGCTGACACACCTTTACCCGTACGTGTCAAATAATTACCATAATGAGCAGATTAATGATAACAATAATAATAATAATTGTTATTATTATTATTATTATTATCGCAGAGGGAATTGTACAAATGAAGCGACTCGTTTAAGGAAGTTGTATGCAGACGAAATGGCACTGGGCTTTAGAGACATTCTGGCCTCGCAGGCATCGGCGGACGATGGAGGAAGAACAGTACCAATTGTCAACGGTTTACTTGCTTTCCTATTTTTGTTGGAAAGTGGCTTCGTCTACGAAGAGGAGTAAGAGCAGTCTCGAAAAACTGGATATAAACTGCCGCAAACTCGCTTCCCAATTGCCCAACTATGCCTCTATTCGCCTCTGATCAACTTTGCCTCCCTCGTCTTGAGCCCCACCAAACAGTCGCAACTCAACTCCTCCTTTCAGCATACGTCGACGAGCCGATTTCCAGTTTCCATCTCATTTTCCTCGCCTCGTGGTCGCGGCAACGCACCGAGACGACCATGTTCGAGGGCCGGCGACATCCGCGTCGGAAAAAATAGGCGCATTTGGTTGCTGGGACACGGTCAGACCTGGCGTTGGCAGAGGCACTTGCAATAACCTACTCCGTCGCTGCCGCTCTGTCTGGCATTGTTGCCATGTCTTGTTCCCGCGGCGGGCCGGTGGCATTCGGCCGACATCGGCATTTGGTCGGCACCGTCCCAGTCCAAGTCCAGCATAACGCATATCGCTTTTGGTGAGTCATTATCTTCTCGAGCCTACCAAGAAATAGGGTTTATGGGTTGTGTTTAGCATATTTCGTTTAAGGTGAAGAAGGAGTGACAGTTGATTTCTGCCACAATCATACGCAGAGAGCTGATCTTTCCCATTTAACTTTACATAACA